GAATTCAATATATGAAAATTACTCACCTCACATTTAGCTAAACTTCCATGACTGACCATGTCTTTATATTCAATAATTATTTTATTCTCAAACCAGTGTTTTGTGATCTCTCCATCCGGAAGAGTTAAAGTAAAGGGAAAAAGTATATTCTTGCATATTTAGAAGCCTGTAGTCCACACTAGCCTTTACTGTCACATTAAGGCCTCAAAATGTGGTTGGTAAGATTATCATATAAAAATACAGACATACTAAATAAACAAGACTGTGCCCACTATAGAAATATTCATGATGACCCCAAATGTAAAGGAAAATTCAACATTCATGACTCCAGATACACTGTTATTTCCTCTTCATTGTTGTGCAAATCCTTATAATCCTTATTAATCTCATATTGTTCAATAACATTGCTGGTGTGGTTGCTAATAACAAAGATTGCTATATCTACGTGCGTTGGCGTATGAAGGCTAACTGCTGTAGCCTTCATACAACACTCTGCTAAAATACAAATGAAAAAGGACAACATATCCAGCATTATGTATTTGTGTATGAACTCAGCTTTCCTCATTGACTTCTCTCTCTCAAGTCCAGCCCTTGAAAAGGTCTCATCTTTCCAACGAACATGATGAAATATGAATCAAGGCAGCAGAGATCACAGGACGAGCTTGGCGAATTAACTCTCACACGCTGACTTACATAAAATATGGGAGCCACGGATTCAAGAATTTCTACTTTGGTTACATTTATGCAAGACTTCAAAATGTGCAGCGGGGAAACTAGTTATTTAGTGGTCTGTCATCACCACATTCATCGAGTCTGGACTTCAATACTGTCTGGCGTTTCAGACCTACACAGCTGTAGATCACATCAGGGACCAACTCACCAAAAGTTATCTTCCCCCCTATTTTTTTACGCAACTATTGAATCACGCCGCTTTCATCGACCTCGCAATAAAACTAAATTTGTAGGAACCTTCCGTCCTCTCGCCCTGTGTGTTTTCTTCATTCACACACAAGAGCAGCACAGCCATTCAGAAGATTAGTATTGATCCGATTGCCACTTCACATCCAGGATACGGAGGCTCAACACAGGGTCACACAAGCTGACAATTTACACGGAGCTTTTTGGCAATTATTGATTGCTGGAATAATTGCACAGAAGTAATTAATACAAAAACATTTACATAAAACTGTGTGTACTGCAAATACGACATAGTGTGCTATAGGTGTTATATATACACAGGTAATAAGTGTTGAACTGCATGAAAGAAATTACTCTTTTGATGTAAAAGTAAACTTGCAACTTGGTTTTAAAGCTTCCACAGTTTGTTTCATTGGTTAAGAGCAAAATGAATGCGTTCTCACTTTTATCAACACTAAATCTGTTCACAAGTGACATCATAATTTGTCAATATCAAAATTTCCCAAGCTGTGGTATGACTCAAAGGTTCTATAATATTATCTTCAGGGCTCTAGCAGTAAACGCTGAATTGCAGATGGATGTCATGGACAACACTGTAAATACTTATTTTCATCCATATATTTATGTTTGGTAAGTATATGTGCATCAGAAGGAAATGTTCATTAAAGTATTGTGCCGATCCAGTAATGAGGATAGGGTGCTATGATATTGATTATGCTAATATGGCTTTTCAATTGATTTAACGAGACCATTTACCGTAGCTATGTTTTGCCCCTTCACTGATATACCGCGAAGTGGCAAATATTGAAAAGTTAAGTAACTAGATTGACATGAGACCGGTTGGATTGGTGCATCACTATATGTGAGCAGGGCAGCGTCACGCACCTGGCCCATATTTAGTTTGCCAAATTCCCCTTTCTCACCTCACCTATGACTAAAGTTCCGCTTGGTGTTGACCATATTGTAGTGAGTTATCAATGTAATGAGAGATGATTTGAACAAAAAAAAAGGTAAATTATAAACCTCAATTATTTTAAATTATTATTTATTTTATTTTATCAATAACACCTAGTTGGAACAAAACATATCATAAAACAGGGATATTTTTAGGGATTTTAGAGAGTGATTTTCTTACTTTGATTTTCCTGAGTGGGTACAATCCTTTAAAAGTAGATGATGAGGGAAACTGTTGACTAAAAAAGGTTGAAAAATGCAGCCGACTTTCCAGTGAGTGGGCGTGCTATATTTAGTCTTCAAAGGATCAATTGCACGTTCAAGTGTTTGAGTTTAATCAATGTTCAATGCGTGGACTGCGGAGGAGGCTAAAGGAACACATGTAGTACTTTGAAAGCCTTATTTTGTGTCTATGTGTTTTCTGCCGTGTGCATACACTCAAAACATGAATGAAGCAGGAGTGTGAAAAGAAAAAACTGAAAAAAAATCTGCAGTTCCACCAAAGGTCTATCTCCTGATCCTCTTTTGTCTTTTCGCTCTTGACATCGGAAAAATCACTTCTCTTCTCACCGTGGAGATGTATTTTTTAAATTTAAAACAGATAACATAAGAATGTGATTATGTTCGTTTGTGTATGCAGTGATCACTAAAGTCATTTGTTTTGCATTTGATACTATCGTGTATTCATATTTGTTCAGGATTGTAACTGAAAATGCATTTGATGTTTAGTGTGTCATAGAGATGTCATTGAAATTCCTAGAATCTTTCATAGTATAATATGTTTATTACTAAGGCCATGCTCTAAAAGACATGATGAACATGAACAAGAAACAAGGAATATTGCAACAGGGTCGTCCAAAATCTGAACTTGTTTGGAAATCTCAATGATGCTTTTAAATCCCATTTAGTAACAACACAAATGTATGCTTCATTTCATTAAAGTCTGTTGTCCCTTTAACCATGTGTTACATGTCTTTTAAAGTATTTTGTACATAACCTACAAACGTAATTGGTCACTCACTGTCCCTGACAACCTCCATCCACTTGTATTTGAAGGTCATGTTGTCATGAAATAGCCTATTGACAACATGCAGATTTTTATTGCTTTGCACCAGACATCCACGATGTACGTGCATCAAATGACACAAAATGACATAAAAGCCAAAGAACTGTGTGCTCACTGTGTCTATAAGGCCATATGGCTTTGACAAATGAGCCTGGTGCAGTTAAATGGCTCGTGATCAGGACACATCAGCGTCTAATTGCCGCTCATTACCGTTAAAAGTGAGTGGCAGCTTGAATCAAAGGCTACAGTGCCTATGCTTAAGTGTATAGTGCTATTGTGTGGGTGTGAGAGAGGGTGCATGTAAAACCACCAGTCCAACATACAAGAACATGCCTCTTAAAGAAGCGATTGCTTTAAATGCAAGCATTTTAAATCTTTAATATTGCTGTCATTTTCCTTGTTATGACAGACTCTTTAACAATTGCACTTGTTTCACATCTGTATCCCACGGGAGCTTTTCTGAGGTAAGCTACGATTATGAAGTCACAGTTGCACAGGATTCTTCTGAAATCACTTGCAAACCCTGACATTATACTCAAATAAACCTAGGTGAATTGATTAGGCAATACGATTGTCACACTTTATATGCATTTATAAGTATCTAACTATTGTCATATCTCTATTTCCAGCAGGGGACCAAGAGAAAACTGTGCCCTCTACTGTTCTCTACATATTTATTCAGTGAAATCCCTTCCTGCCCACGTTCTAAAATAATGTCTCAAGCCTCAGTGCGTCCAAAAGTGGGGTCTGGCCCATCTGAGACCTCACACCCACTGCAGGGGGGGGGGGGGGGGGGGGGGGGGGGGGGGGGGGGGGGGCAGTCCAACAACAAGCAAGTGAGATTTATTTCTAAAGTACAAATATTTGGTTTAAATTACAACATAAATATTGAATAAAACAGACATATTATCTAAATCCAATTGAATGGATAGAGGGGGGCTCCTAGGCTCCCAGAGAGATTCTACACCATTCATGCTTCCATTAACAACAGGAACAAGTGAAAACAAGCACCGGTCAAAAAATAATATTAAAGATGAACTACATTCACCTGTATTAACACAAGATGTAAAAGGAAGCAGAATAAAGCATTTGCCCTAAAATGAAATAAATACATTTTAAAAATCAGATGTAGGCCTATGAGGATAGAGATAAATCTGAACCAGATGTGTGCCTCAGATGTAAACATGTAAACTCAGCGTGAGAAAGTGTCCAGCCCAGGGTGACAGTTGAATGAAAACGTGTTTGAGCTCATTTTTAAATGCATATAGTTGAGTGTAATAGGCCGGTCCTCCTCTCGGGACGCAGCAGAGCCTACCCTGAGAGGTGTAAACAGAGTAAAAATAGCCGCTATCACAGGCTTCCCTACAGTCCCGTTATATAATGGTCCAAGCTCAGATGAATGACATCACGGGCAGTCCAGCAATCACAAACCTTATGTCCTTTACAACGAGACACCAGTGTACAACAGTAGTAACACGTAAGCACCGACAAAAATAGCTTTTATGGGCCAGTGTTACATGCCAGACATGTTGGTTATCTGAGCATTAGCGTCGTAGGAGAGGTGGAATTGTTGTGGTCTTATTGCATTCGCGATAGTAAACGGAGGCTAATTGTTAGCTGCGCGAGACCGAGGGGCTGTCGACGTGAAAAGCGTTACAACCACCACCGTGGGCTCAGGTTTGGCTTAAGCTGAGAGGCAGGATTAAGGTAGGTTCAAAGTGTAAAAGTTGCGCTGTGAGTGGCGCGTATCGTGGCAGTGACGTGGGCAGGCGGTGAAGGCTCTCGGCAGCCTCAGGAGACATGACGCAGTGACCGCTGCTTTTCGCCACTTAAACCTCTACTTTGGTTAGGGTTCAGTGAAAGTGTATGTGGTTAGAAGCTACGTCCGAGGGATCCCTCTAGCATTTCCAGGGGGACGTAAACATATTCTAGGGCTTTGAAGTACCTAAGGCGCCGATCAGCCAGTATTCAGACTTTTCCCGCTCACTAAGGGGAAAGGGGCAGTGTCCGGCAATGGCAGGTCGGATAAACGAGAATGACAGCAATAGTTTTGTGTGATTACAGAAAGGTGTAGCAGTGCTTGAGTGTGTGTTCCGTGTGGAGGTCTCCCTGCTCTGCTCCGTGCGAGTGGAGCGGGGTACTCCTGTGATGATGTCGGCAGCGCGGCGCGGTGGCTCTCTCTCCTTCTCGCTCTACTCTCCTCGTCCTCTCTCTCTTCTCCGCGAGGAGAGAGAGGCGGGAGGAGCAGCGCCTTCAAATGGAGTAGTTTGTAAGATATATGCAAACATATACGAGCATAGTTCGAGGTGCTGAGCAAACGTTTTAAGTGAGGAAAGGGCAATTGTGGATAAAGTCGTTAAGACCTTTGTCAGTCAATTTTAATATGAAATATCGCAATTCATAGATGGTGGGCGCCCCAGGCAGTTATTCCTTAAAAAGCTAAATGTGATTTTGACCTTGCTAATGACTCATGTGACCCGAGAGTAATTGTCGAAATGACAAGAAAAAAGGTGCATATTGACTTTATCTTTTTGGAATGGTAAAAATAATAAAAAATAAAAACCTATCCAGCATGTATATGTATCCGTTCTTTCAGTCTCACGCACTCGGAAGCAACCCAGATGCTATTGCACTTTTTTTTTTATTGTAGATAATATATATGAAGTACATTATGATTACTTAAATGTTGAATTCTGTTTGCACAATTGATTTTTATCTATGAATTGAGCTAGTCACATTTTCCGTGTGAGATCATAAAGTGTATCTTTACTTAAACAACCTCATAACATATAGGTTAAGTTTATGACAGATCACAAGCAGTTTGCATTTTTAGATAAAGGTGCGTAATAGTAGTGTAATATGAGGGAGGATTTAGAATGATATTTCGCGCATTAGTGTGTATTTTGCAGCGAACGCAAAGCGCATCCTAGTGTAGGGAATGGTAGTAGTGACAGTGAAAGAGGAACATTCGGCTGATCGTGTTTATTTACCGCACCAACTTCTCGGATAAACATTCGTCATATCATGTAGACTAAAGGGTTATTGCTTTGGCTATTCTTGGCCAAATGTTTCAAGTTCATAAAAGCTGTTTTATTTCCTCTTATGCCAAAGCTGTTTTGAAATATTATGGAGAATGTGGCAGTATTTTTGAATAGGGCTATTCATCAATAAACATTAATGATGAAGTATTTTTAGTTAATTAGAGGCATTTTGTCTGCATATGCACATGACAATAACATTTTAAGATAAAGTATAATGGGAAATAAAGATTGGTATTTAAAAATAGTTTTTAACATCAAGACCCATTGTCCATTGGCATTATTGCTCATCCTTTAGATCCTAAGGATATACAATCAAGTCTTATAACAGTGTCTATATTTTTGATTTGCACTTGACTTCCAGATTTCATGATGACTAGGGCGTTATTATGCTGCGGGGGTATGACCTGAGTGGCCCGAGCGATTTCCGGATGAAGTGGGTAGTAAGTTCAGTCGTTTCCGAGAAGTGGTGTATTAGTGCGTGCTGGATTGGTGGTGATCCAGTGACGCCCAAGAAGAGGTCTTTTCTGAGAGAGAGGTTGTGTTATGTCATGGTTATGACAGTGCGTGGAGCCTAATGCCAGTCAATTGAATGGACAATTACAGTTTCAAATGGTGTGTACAAGAACAGTCCCGAGGGGTCAGGAAAGATTACACGGTGTGTGGCGCTATGACCGGCTGTGTCCTCAATGTTGGTAATACTTTGAGAGAATTCTCGTTCAAATAATCGTAATTGATAGAGACATGTGCGCGTTTTGTAATTAAATGGGGTAAGTAGGTGGATTATAGGTCTAGACAAGTTAGCAATTACAAATAGATTACGAGACTTCCGAATTTACAATTGTATACTTGAAACACCTGGATTGGGGGTGTTAAATGTCAGCAGATGTGTGGTTTATTTCTTGCTTTTGTGAAGTTTGTTATTAAGTATATACAAGATGGAATTAAATATAAAATATTTATACTCTGGTTGAATGTTTGGTTCTGTTAACGTTATTAATGTCCTTGTGTGTAGTGTCAATACAAGTAGTTCTTGTGAAAAGTTTATATATGAGGTGGATTGTGGAAGTTGTGTCAAGTGTGTGAGATTTGTGTATATTTTTTTTTATAAAATAATAAACAATCGTGTATTTATAACGGGTTATAATTGGTACTGTTGGGCGGCGTTGTGTGGGGTTGGGTTTTAGGAGTAAGTTATGTGGAGGTTGGGGGAAATGAGAGGAAAAATGAGGTGTGTCTGGAGGAGCGACTATTAAATACGATGTGATTGACCAAACATCTCAGGCGATACAAGTCATACAGAAAGTTGCATCTACAATCGATTCCTATGTACAATAGTTTTCTAAGAATTCCAAAACAGCTGTTGGAATATAATGATATAAATAATTATTGTATACCTTTTCTTACATTTAATGAATTTAATGTCAATCATTGTGTCTAAGTTTATTACACTCAAGATGTCCCAAACACTCAGGTAAGTGCTGCAAGATTTGCAGGTTATATGATACTACTGAGTGATTCAAAGAATCTGTAAGAAAGAGATATTCAATAGCATCTCTGTTGTGATGAATAATAGTAGTTATATAAATGTTGATTGAGGGAGATTCCATGAAGTGAGTCCGAATGACCGCCTAGTATAAAACCCCATAACTTTGCGGAGGCATCATCCAATAATTCTCTCTTGTCTCTCCTGTAGGTGTGTTGAGAGAGATTAGTTTGATTTTTCGCTGGTATGTTTTTTTTCAGCGATGAGTGCTTTTTTTAAGTTCTTATCGAGCGGGAGAGTTCATTTCTACGTAAAAGATCCAAGCTTAGCTATTTCAGTAACACGGGAAGTGAAGTCGTGCCTTAGGATTGTATAAACGGTGTTTTTAGAATCACGTTAAACTTTCTAATCACAAACGTGTCAATTAGATCACTAAATGGTTTGTTATTAGAGATTTAGTGAGTTAAAAACGCGTCATTAGTAAAAATATTATTGCAAAACTGATGATGAAAAATGTCTGATAGTAATTTTTTGTAAAGAAAGTTAATTATATATAGGTATATGTTGTCACGCAGGTGTGATTATTGCATTTTATAAAAGTTATAATAGTTAATGTTCTTATTTGAGTTGGATGATTTGTCTCATTTTGTGTTCAAACAAATTTATATGACTCATATATTTTTGTTTTAATAAAATGTGATGAAAATGGGAGGGTCCTAAGGAACATCTTGTTTGTTGTTTTCTTTACGTTACGGTCGTTTGGGAGAACATAACAATTGATTTCCTCAGTAAGACAGTTAATGAGGAGTTATAAATACCAGATTGTTATTATTTATATAAAAAACGGCTGATATCCATGACTGGAGCCCACCCGATAAACAGTTGGACAAATGGAAAGGAGTCGGTGGATCATCTTGTACTGAATGACTTGTATTTTGTATATTACGGAGCTAAGGAATTATAAATGTTAAAGAAAAATTAAACATGGAGTATGAATATTTTAATATTAGTTATTTGTATTATTACTTACATACAAATTCACAACTAGCATAGAAAATTGTTCTTTCAAAGATATGTAGGAGTTCCGGCATCCAGTGTAAGATTTGGAAAGTTCTTGTAATTAGTGTTGTAATTTGTAATGACTTTTTAGGACGTGTATTATGAACTAGTAGATTTTAAATACAAAGACGTAATTGTTGCTATGCAATTTATGAATGATTTGAACTTTAGAATAGTCAACTTCTTAAGGATTAGGTGAACAGTTTGTAATGTGTCACAACTTTTAAATTTGTAGTAATGTAAGAGTGTAGGACTTTGCATGATGTCATTCACTAGATGGTCATTACAGATCACTGTGGTAGCAGTGACTTGTAAAAGCATCTGGCAACGGGGGAGCTACTCTTTGTTGGGGCATGTGAAGGGGGGGACATGGAACTGGCAAAGGCACTTGAGTGCAGGGAGTGGGGCGATCACCGATTTGTCACACTGAGGTTTTGAATGGCAGTCAGCGGAACGGTTGCAAAGACGAGGCTTATGTATAGTGGAAATAGGGAAGGGATGGTGGTAGTAAATGAATGAAGACTGTTATGAAGCAGTGATTATTCGGGGATTTATGTATTGTGTACGTTAACAGTGAGAGCGTTCATTCCAGGGAAATAATACCTTTTAATTTGAAGATTACCACACCTATTTTACAAATCACTTTTATTTACATATCTGTGTTTTTGTTAAGTGATAAGACATGATCCCTGTGCGAATGTCATGAGTGTGAATCAAGTATGAGCCTGACTGGGTGGTAAAAGTATTTGTATGGAATCGCTCTCTAAACAACGTGACCCAGTTTAGAATGATACCCCGATATTCTCTCCGATTAGCATTTGAACTTTTGTATCCCTAATGAATCATGAATCTTTGTGCTGTTGCTTTCAACTGCGGCAATGTATCTTGAACTTGAGTATGTTTTGTTGTGAGGAACAAGCTGGCTCAGCAGTGGATTTTGTTTGTATGTAGCTGATAAATTAGTTGATGATTTCTCGTTTTTCTTCCAAAAACTTATTTGGTGAAAATTAGACAGTTACATTGCTAGTCTGTGAATATCTTTACAAATTTGAGAAGAGTCTTTGTTGTTGTATCTACACCAACAACTATTGATATAGGCTTGTTGTGTTTCTATCAAGAAGAATTCTTGCTCCACAAAGAGAAAGTAATTTAATTTGGCAAACTATTAACTAATTTCCCTCCGCCGAGTGCCGTGATCATACGTTAATACAATGTAGTTGTGCGTCTCACTTTATTAACACCAACACGATTGGCTCGGTGTAGTGTTTTTTTTTGTAAGTGTTTAGAGACTTAAAGGTTCAACATAATGTACGTTGTGACCGCTGGTGGGGGATCTTTGTTTTTATTTTTTTTAAAAATTGTATACCTATTGCTCCGGCACAAAACTACAGAAAGATATAAGTCGGGCAAAGAAAGATTGTATTAACTTAAAAAAAACAATATTGAGGTCATTATGACTTTGTTTGATATCTCGAATGATTAGGTTAATGTACATCTTGCAGTTGTGGGCGCCCGCTGAGTTATGTGAGTTGTATCTATTATTAGTAAATTGGATGACCAAGAGTTAGAGGATTAAACGCAAGTAGCGTTGGTATTCAATAATTTTTGAGGGGTGGGGGGTTTTTTCCTCCAAGTATAGTGATGTATAGTTTGAATGAGTAGCTTATAAATCTCACTAAGTGCAAGTCGTTCTTCGCTTATCATTCGGGGAGGTGTGAGGCGGAGGCTGAGGATGGGGAGGTGAGTGGTCGGAGCGGAGGCGGAGGCGTGAGGGTTGCGCAGCGCGCGGCAGACGATCCTTCAAGGGAGGGACGCTTCAGGTCTGCCGAGAGAGCTAGGGGCTGTGGTCCAGTTGAACACGTCATTCCAAACTTCCTAACACCAACATGTGTCTCAACAGTTACATCTTCAAGGCATGCTGCCTTTCGTGAGAGAGGAACAGGTTTTAGGAGCGCGGCTAGTGATGTAGCGGCGCGGGTAGGACTGAAACTGATAGCTTTTTCATTTTAGAGGTTGGCTTGTATGGGGTAGGGGTTTCGTATCCTGGTCCTAGGATAACACAAGCAAGTAGAGATAAGAGTGAGAAAAGCGAGGGAAGTTGCGGAAGTCATGCGGGGTGGAGGGAGGCGGAGGTGTTGGGGCGGGCAGGTTCGGGAGGGGGTGATTATCTAAAGCGAACTCGACATGTCCAAAATATTATCTTTTGTAAATTAGTCATTGAACTTGATGACATTACAGAAACTAGAGCTTTTCGGAGTGTGTTGTACATTTATTACGTCGACAGTAGGTATCTGCGTCAGAATACATTAAGTGTTAGTTTTATATCGCGGCGCGGCTATTGTAAGAGCAGTGGCACCGAAGATCTCAATTTCAGCGGCACCTAGGTTGCTTCGCTCAGAGTTTCGCAATGTGTGCTGACCAGTCATCACAC